TTCTGCAATGCTGGCTACCTGCTCAATGAAGTTGATCGGCATTCATGCCAGGGTTAGCGTTGAATGCAGAATGGTCCAGTGGTTTTTATAGCACAATTCACTGCAAATTCACTCAAAATGTAGATGGCACTTGTAGTTACACTTATATAATTAGCAAGTCTATGCACCTAGAACTGTTCATCCCGAAAAAAAACTTTTTCTTTGGGTGAACAGCTTTGGGTGTATGAGGATATACATCGAATTCTCTCAGTAACCTACAATTTCTTTCGAAAAATTCATTGTTAGGTGCTAAAGAGTTGAGATTTTTTTGTTTTGTTAATGGGGAAACAGTCCTAAACAGAAGGGTTCCACACAAAAGATAAGTTATAAATATAGAACTGAAAATGCATCATTGGCTGAATTGAATGCAACAACTTTCCAATAGAAAATATTAACTTTCTATGCACCACTTAGTGAAGCAACATAGCTGCACGACTAGTTTGTATTGGTAAATTTTACCCTTTAAACTTGAAAAACTGTACATCTTATCACTCAATTTCAAAATTCCCACTTTATAGATAGTTCCACTATCGTATGTTCTCACTTAGGCACATCCAGTATATAATTTAGGCACTAGTTAAACACCAATGATTTGAGTTTGCAGGTCCCATAATGCACTCATTACAGATATCAACGAATGTTCCGTAGGCAATGGGGGATGCTCTCAGCTTTGCATCAATCTGCCAGGCTCTTTCGAATGTCAATGCAAACCAGGCTACATAATGACATATGATAGAAGGACTTGCGAAGGTTGGTACAGAATTCTGAAATTTGTTCTTCATAAAATTCTTACTATGTGGAAATTTTGTAGATTGTTTTTTAAAATTCACTTTGAAAATTTGATCCTCCCAGAACGACTCTGAAATTCAGTTTCGGGAACACTCGATAGTCTACGATTTGTGAAATTTCGTGCATAGTTCCATTGCAGATATTAATGAATGTGTAGCGAATAATGGGGGATGTCAGCATATGTGCACGAACACCCCCGGAAGTTATGAATGCGCTTGTGAGGAAGGTTTCCGACTAGCCATAGATGGTCATTCGTGCTACGGTTCGTCACTTAAATTGATCATTTCTAACGTTCTAAAATGTTTTGTTCAGATGTCAACGAATGCCTTGTCAACAATGGTGGATGTAGCCAACTTTGTCGTAATGATGAAGGTGGCCGCCATTGCGAGTGCTTTGGCGGTTATGTACTGGGAAAGGATGGGAAGACTTGCATGGGTAAGTGCAACATTCTGAACGTTCCGCTACCGTTGTTTTGAAAAAATCTCATTTCCAAGCGCGTGTAGATGCATTTCTACCGTAATCGTAGTCTAATAAAATGGTTTTGCACTATGGAAGCCAGGATTCGTCTCGATCAAATTTATGGAGACAATGCTACATAGGCTTTCAATACGGTTACGGTAGAAATGCGCACCTGCCCGCCGAGCACTTTTGCTTTGAAATTTGTGTTTACCTATGAAAAGAAGTGGAAAGAAGTTCTAAACAGAGGAATTCCTTAGATGTTTAATGCGACGAATGATTGGTGCAGGAACTACCATTCTTCTCCTTTTCCTTATTTTTGCTTGTATTTTTGAATATAACCTAGTTCTATACCCTATGTTTAACGGTTTTAGCCGCCTTGTCCGCCTCTCTTCCCATTGTTGCGTCACGTAAGTGATACAGTTATTCCAAAGACTAACAGCAGTGTGTGATTATGCCTTACCCGTAGCTTTATGTATCGAGTGCTTAGTGAAACCTTAGCTATTCTAAATTTTGGACTTTCGCAACGTTTATATCTGCATGTGATAATCAAAGTAGTAGCATGTGTGTTATTTGACAAATGACTACAACAAAATTGAACAAAACCACATTCTGCTATAAGGCAGGACACTCAAAAAATGGCAATGATAGTCCTTCTTATTTTCCACTGTCCTTATACGGCATCCCCCAAGGGGTTTTTGAGTTGTATGGAAAAAGCTCTTTTTTAACATGATCTTAATCATTTAATGGATGAAAAGATAAGTATAATTTACAGACATCTATTGGAGAAATGTTCTTCTATTGTTTTAGATTA